TAAAGTAATATTATTACATCTGCATGTCTCATGTTTCTCTGTGAAATGCGCCACTATCGGCATTTGGCGTGGCATACGAGTTAACTTACAATATAAACATTCTTAATTTGAGTGGCATTTCCTTTAAAAGCTTTAACAAATATAAGCACCTCAGGGATTGGGGGTTGTTCTTTTTTAAGTATCTGTGTTTTAGTTCACTAACCAACTCACACCCTCTTACTCACCAGACTCCCAATGGAGTACTAGACCAGGTACAGTTTCTGCCTGCATTCTGTGTGTGATGGGACTGATTAGACGTTTTCTCGTCTCATTTTCTCATTAAACTCTCATTATACTCTGCTGATTACAAAAACATCCTATATTCATATCTACCCTTTCTCCATTCTCGACTTCTCTCAGGTGTTATATGCATCTTGATTTGAGATGTGTGTTCATTCATGTGTGTTGTGTGTGGGTGTGTGAAATTATGGGTGGGTTAATTCTGAGTTAAATTCAAATTCTGCAGCAGAACAGTAAAGCCAGTGGTTTTGTGGGCGTGCCATTAATACATACGTGCCATGTTGCCATATTTGTTTTGGAACTCGCATTGAGGCTAGTCTGCATCAACGAGCCTCTGAAATAAGCTTACAATAACCTTTCTCTGCTGCTGTTAACCCCCACAAACAAAATTATCTTATGTAAAGATAGGTAAAAACAAATCCTGTCGACCCATCTGCTCTGTGTATTAGTAGGAGCTATGACTGCCTTTGTCTCATTGCTTCATGTGTTGTAACAGAACACAGTGGACAAACTCCTGAGGGACACCAATCTGGCCGTGGTGCTTGGCACTCACTCGTGGAGAGAGCAGTTCATTGGAGCGGTCACAGTCAGTGCAGGTCAGTGGCTAATGTGTTTGTTTTTTCTTAAAACCACCTTCATGTGAACATGTCGTACTATACCTGTAATGTCTCTGTTTTTGTTCCCCCGCCTAGGGACTACAGATGTGAATGAGCATTTTTGATAACTTCGGCACGTTTACATCTTGTACTTCATCCTGATGTTCATTAATGTGCTCTGGCCCAATAAAATACAATAATACAAAATATTTTTTTAATAAAATAAAATGATGGTTAATATTAAATGTGAAATTAAAGGGTTTCACGTTTGAATAAATGTTTACAATTAACATTTACAATTAACATTTTCTAACTGTTGGCTTCTTCTGTTTTAGTTAGCTGGCCGAGGACGACATGCGGTTCAGAACAGGACTCGTTTTTACAATATGGCCAATGTTACTAACAACGAATAGAGAAGGAATTTACCCTGAACTATTCCTCCCAAATTGTTGGCTTGACATTCACAAGGAGCATGTGCTTTACCAATTTGAAAAAATAGTACAACATTTTGGGAAACACCCTCATTCATTTTGACTAGTACCACTCTCTGTCTGTGGCTCAGTGGTCGAGCAGGGTTGGTATTGCTCTCTAATCAGATGATAGGCTGTTCAATCCCCGGCTCCGCTAGTCCATGTCGATGTGTTCTTGGGCAAGAAACTTAACCCCAAATAGCTGTGCCTGCGATGTATGAATGGGTGTGAATGTTAGTTAGTCCTGATGGGCAGGTGGCACCTTGCATGGTAGCCCCAGCCATCAGTGTATGAATGGGTGTGAATGGGTGAATGATGACATGTAGTGTTAAAGCGCTTTACAAGTACAGTCCATTTACCATTTGTCTGTCCGTTGAATATGAAACTACAGCCAGAAGCTGATTAGCTTAGCATAAACACTTGAAACAGTTCATATGTAATGCTCACTTACATGTCATGTCTCATTTGTGTAAACCGTACAAAAACTGAAGTGTAGAATGAGAAGTGGTGGCTTCACTGCCGGTAATATGCTGGACTAAGTCTCGCTGCGTTCAAAATAATAAACTATTCCTTTAAAGGAAGGTGTTAGGATGGTGAGCTTTGTTTTATTGATCTTCACTATGTTTCCTTCAAACAGGTGATGGAGATGAGGACGAGGGACAGGAGCAGCGAATGCCCAGCTCCTTTGACTATTTTATGCACATATTGTGCGCTTTCTGGAAGATTCTGTTTGCCTGCGTCCCACCCACACAGTACTGGAACGGCTGGGCTTGCTTCATAGTGTCGATCTCTGTCATTGGTTTCTTAACAGCCATTATTGGAGACCTAGCCTCCCACTTTGGCTGCACCGTTGGCCTGAGGGACACCGTCACCGCCGTGGTCTTTGTAGCTCTGGGGACTTCACTTCCTGGTAAGTAGTGAGGTATTTTTTTTTCTTCCAGAATTCAGTATTCCAGAAGTTTTAGCTATGGCTAGAAGCACTGAAGGGATATAGTTTTGGATTAAACTATTGAAATATTTTCTCACTTAATTTTTTCCCAGATACCTTTGCTAGTAAAGTGGCTGCCACGCAGGACCAGTACGCGGATGCATGTGTGGGGAACGTGACAGGAAGCAACGCAGTCAATGTGTTTTTGGGCATCGGGGTGGCCTGGTCCATTGCTGCCATATATTGGCAGGTCAAAGGTAAGGTCTTCCGCGTTGACCCTGGCTCGCTGGCCTTCTCCGTCACACTCTTCACCATCTTTGCCTTCTTCGCCATGGGGGTGCTGATGCTACGCCGGAGGCCGTCCATAGGCGGCGAACTCGGTGGCCCGCGGATCTCCAAAGTCCTCACTTCACTGTTCCTCTTCGGACTCTGGTTCCTCTACATCCTCTTCGCCAGCTTGGAGGCCTACTGCCATATAAAGGGCTTCTAAGAGCGCACAGCTGGGGAGAGTAATGACTGCACAATAAAAAAACAAACACACGTCACCAGGATATTCACCTGTGCAGTTCTGTTCCAGTGACTACCACTGAGAAGACTTATCACTTGAAAAACTGCTGCCATGGTTCTTAAAAATCTATATACAGTATATATAATTATACTGTACACACGACAGACTTGCACATGCAAAAATCTGTATGTCTCACTCACTGCAGGACAGTTCCAGTCAGTAGAATCTTTTGACTAAATAACATGCAGTGACTGTTTTTGATGGAGAGCGAAGCAGGTCAGCACATACTCTGTGGAGTCACTGAATTTTGCTTGATTCTGGCGTGATGCCCGATGGTTCATAACCTGGATTTCAAGTTTGGTCTCACGCTAATAGAGGCTGGGTCAGAGTAGACTGCCTGACCTAGTAATTAGATAAGAAAAACACTGACAGCTGCTTTTACACAGATGTGCAATGTAAGGACGCATCTGAGTGTATCGCCATGCTTATACCATGGCCACTTGTCCATGTTTGTTTGTCAGTAAGCATTTACCCATAATAAGGTATATTTGCTCAAAGCAAAAAGTGCTGTTGCTATGGTTACCTCCAGTTTGTGCGCACAGATTTAGAGCAATAGAAATAAAACTGTTCACTGGAAGTGTTTGAGTTGTCCTGGTGTACGACGTTGAATGGACCTGCCAGCCAATCGGAAGAGTTTCCTGCGGGCATGGTATAAAGAACTGAGCACATTGCGGTTACAATCTACAGCTTGGGAGATAACCTACTGTTGTGTTATTATGTCACACTGATAAATTGTGTTTCTCTGTTGAGTTATGTGACGCGAGGCATTGTTTAGTGTAACTTAATGCACCTACTGAGTTGAATATCACTGCAATTATTAATAATAGTAAACGATCAGAAATGCAATAACCCTATATTGGAACATATAATTTACAAAAAAATTACACAGGCAATGATAAGCCGTGGTATGAAAAAAAATGTACCTAGTATCTGCCATTGAGTGTGATTATTTGAAAGTGATGATTCATTCACCCCTGAAGTCTTATCTGTGTATTTATCGATGGTGTTATTTAATGTCTTTGTAATTTAATGTCTTTGAGCTGATATGAACAAAAATGCATTGTAAATTATTGCAAGCTGTCATAATTACATTGAAATTTTAACTGTGTGTCTCCATTGGATGGAATTATTACTTTCTCATTAGTGCAAAAGAAGACATTCAGGACTCTTTAAAGGTGTAGCAATCTTTCTGAAAATGTCAACGTGTGCTGACATGGAAAAAGCACGACAGAAAAAAACAAAAACAGACTTCAGATACAATTCAAGTCATTTTTGTGAAGGACCATAGCCATGCAGCAACACTTTTTATGCAGGTGAGATATAAGACGATAAAATCACTACCTGAGATGCCAGTCTAATGATTAAAGCATGCAGGATGAGATGGTCTAAAACAAGTATCCCCCTGCATCAAGAGCCTCCTTGTCTGCAACCAGTTTTCATGTGTTTGTGTAATACAAGGTCAACTATACTAGAGGTGGAAATAGTTTTCTTTCTCCTTCCTATTTAAAGGACCAACATTTGGCAGGGGTGTTGTGCTGAAATGGTCCTTTGGAAATACAAAAAAACAAGGACACGGGTGAATAAATGTAAATTATGCCAATACAGTGACGAATTGAATTCTGGGTCACTTTTGAATGCATAAAATAACATCCTAGTTTTACCTAGCTGGAAAATTCTGAAATACAATGCAATGACAGGCTTATTACAGGTTAGTAGTGTTCCTCTGCGCTGAGGCTGTTCAAAATGTGTAACCCATGGTTAAGGTTTAACCCGCCTCCTCTCCTGATTGACAGGTAAATCGATGGAGATGTGTAGCGTGTGACGGTCTGCTGCATTCAATAAAATTTCTAGAACATGAACAACCGAGTTGAAATATCACAGTGGTTGTCAGGTTTTAAGAGGACAAATTTTTCATTAAAAAAAAAAAGTCATGCTGTGATCCCAACCTTTGATTACTATTGGAGGAGATGCATTCATGTGCAACATGTATATTAATTTAAATATTTGTCAACAGAATAAAATGTGATTTTCCAGCGGAAACCAGCTAGCTATAAACAATGGGAAATTGAGTCGTTGCTTTTTTAAAGACATACTAATTTGGGGTTCAGATGTCCAAAACGCTCTTCCGTTTTTCCCACAAATCATGAATGCAGCACTAACCCGGCACAGGGGACAGGACAACATGGCTGCTGCTGCGGGCCGATACTACGGAGAAGGCGGCAGAGCAACGAAAAGACAGAAAACGGAGGACGGAGGAATGACAACGGTGAGGCTTTTCCTCTGGCCGTCGTAGGTAGTGTGTTGTTATGCTAGAATGTGCTAGGTTTTGCTTTTCTAAGAATGGTATTTAGCTTGACAAAGTAGTGCTTATCTAGCAGCTATCTAAGCTAACATCTAGGTTAGCTAGAATAAAGAAGCTAGCCACGTTCGGTAGTTATATCGGGTTTGGATAGAAGAACGTTAAAGCGGTGACGGAGTTTGTCCAATTAATATTATATAGCTATTACACAACATATAATTACCATTTTATGTACTGATAAAAGGATATAGTAAACTATAAGCGTTCACTAGTAACGTTAATCTCTAACGCAATAACGGTTATTTTATTATACTCACTGTCCTGGGCTGCTATTCAGGCCCAACTAACGTCAACGTCACCAACCTCTACCGGTGGTCTGCGGCTTCATCGCTTTCACACCAGTATTAGAAATATGTAATGAACCTACAAGCGTCATGTTGTGTGTTTGGTTTGCAGGAGAGCTACGATGACCCTCATAAACCGCTACCCTCCTCGGTGGTGCACATCCGGGGCTTGGTGGACGGCATCATGGAGGCTGACCTGGTGGAGGCCCTGCAGGAGTTTGGGGCCATCAGGTAATAACTGAGCACCTACAGTCTCTGTATGCTTAACGTGCTCACTGTGTTCTTCAGTGGTGTGATTCTCATGTTTCAGGTCTCATGGGACCTCATTTGTCTGCATTCATAATAACCTCACAGACAACACAGTCTTGACCTACTGTCATCTTATCAAGCTGTTACTACCATGTAGAGTAGCATATTTAATATTTTAATTATTGTTAAGCTTTATACACTCACCAGCCACTTTATTAGGTACACCTTGCTAGTACCGGGTTGGACCCCTTTTGCCTTCAGAACTGCCTCAATTCTTCGTAGCATAGATTCAACAAGGTGTTGGAAACATTCCTCACAGATTTTGCTCCATATTGAAATGATAGCATCACGCAGTTGCTCAGATTTGTCGGCTTCACATCCATGATGCAAATCTCCCGTTCCACCACATCCCAAAGGTGCTCTATTGGATTGAGATCTGGTGACTGTGGAGGCCATTGGAGTACAGTGAACTCATCGTCATGTTCAAGAAACCAGTTTGACATGATTTGAGCTTTGTGACATGGTGCATTATCCTGCTGGAAGTAGCCATCAGAAGATGGGTACACTGTGGTCATAAAGGGATGGACAAGGTCAGCACCAATACTCAGGTAGGCCGTGGCGTTTAAACAATGCTCAATTGGTACTAAAGGGGCCCAAAGTGTGCCAAGAAAATATCCCCCACACCAGTACACCACCAGCAGCAGCCTGAATCACTCTGCCCATTCTCCTCTGACATCAACAAGGCATTTTCATCCACACAACTGCCGCTCACTGGATATTTTCTCTTTTTCGGACCATTCTCTGTAAACCCTAGAGATGGTTGTGCGTGAAAATCCCAGAAAATCAGCAGTTTTTGAAATACTCAGACCAGCCCGTCTGGCACCAACAACCATGCCACGTTCAAAGTCACTTAAATCCCTGTTCTTCCCCATTCTGATGCTCGCTTTGAACTTCAGCAAGTCGTCTTCACCGCATCTAGATGCCTAAATGCATTGAGTTGCTGCCATGTGATTGGCTGATTAGCTATTTGTGTTGACAAGCAATTGAACAGGTTTGCCTAATAAAGTGGCTGGCGAGTGAATATATATTTCTGTATTTTCAGTGGGCTAAATGTTCATTTGTAAGTTAAAGCCACATGTGACAAATAAAATGCAACAATGTTGTTTCTTTCTATGTTGAAAATACACCACTGCAAAACATTTAAATGATATATATATAAAACACAGTATATTAAAGAAATTCACAAGTTCTCAACAACAATAACAGACCTTCAGCAGTGTGGTATGTCTCCCTCCATGTTGCAAGCGAGTGGGCCAAGTTTTGCTAGCAGAGGGAAAGTGGGGGTGGTTGTGCAGAGAGAAGCGAGATGTTAACACTGGCGTGGCTTTACGTAAGAAACGGGTTATTGATCGTAACGTCAAACTATATGGATATAACGGTGTTGTGTTACCCTATATCTCGTTTGAAAATATATTGACATACCGTAGTCAGCGTGAATGCAAGTTCGACTAAGTAATAATAAACATTTATGTGACTCATGCTTTTATTAAATGAAACATGGTTCGGTAATCTATCTTATCATTTTCTTCTTGAAATATCTATTTACAGTTTTGTTGTTATGATGCCCAAGAAACGGCAGGCCCTCGTGGAGTATGAGGACACGAATGGCTCCTGCAATGCTGTCACATATGCAGCAGAGAACCAGGTTTACATTGCAGGCCACCCCGCCTTCATCAATTACTCCACTAGCCAAAAGATCTCCCGGCCAGGGGACTCAGACGACACCCGGAGCGTCAACAACGTTCTGCTGCTCACGGTCATAAACCCCATCTATCCCGTCACCACGGTAACTTTATTATACAAAACAACCTTGTGACTGTGTCACATCCTTATTTATGTAGTAGTCTGTTGAACAGGATACGTTACTATAAGGTTACAAACTAATTTGTTAGATCACTGTACATTGAACCGTGTTTTTCAATGTCAGTTATGAGTCTATCTTCATGAAAAATATAGGGATTTGATTATTTTATTCGAAGTGCTGAAAAACTACTGTTTGATTAGAGGTACTGCTGCCAATTAGTCCATCATTGTAAAGCCATATTGAAGCATACATATCTATTATTCTGCATCAGCATGGTTGTAGCAGCATGTGCATCTTTTCTTTTTTTCTTCATAATTTATACTTTTCTTAATTACCGTGAATTTCCCGTCTTTTGACGTCTCTAAATTATTTTTATAGAAACATCGAAAATCAATCTTTTTTTTATTTGGCTAACAATTAGCAAGTAGTATATTGTTATGTTTGGTCATGTGTGATGTTTTTTATCGGTGATATGAATGCTGTGGAGTTAGGTGTGCTTACTATATTAGGACTACTATATGAACTTCTCTGTGTGCCTCCGCAGGACGTGCTCTACACCATCTGTAACAACTGTGGACCTGTACAGAGGATCGTCATCTTCAGAAAGAATGGTGTTCAGGCCATGGTAGAATATCCTTTTCAATGATTGCCATTTACATTTGGACACACTATAATTGTACATTGTCTTGATGTTTTATTAACCCAGGCCCCTCAGAAATCTTGATATAATCACACCTCACCTTAACTCACTGCTGCCACGTTTGACTCGGTCCAAAGTGCTCAGAGGGCCAAAGCCTCTCTGAATGGGGCAGACATCTATTCTGGCTGCTGCACTCTAAAGATTGAGTATGCCAAGGTGAGCGTATGGCCATTTCTCATCAACCATGGTGCATTTTGAATTAACATTAGATGTTAGTGAGAGGACACTGGTTTTGATTTTTTGTAATGCAATCCACAGCCAGCACGTCTTAATGTCTTCAAGAACGACCAGGACACGTGGGACTATACAAACCCCAACCTCAGTGGCCAAGGTAACAGTCCCCGACCCTTTCTTCCCCCTATTTTCTTCCTCTCATTCCACTATATGGGATGGTTAGGGCTCTCTGCCTCCGGGGTTATTGCCTTTGATCACAGGTGAATGGTTTCATCCACCGTTCACCACGCTACTCAGCTCAGTGGTCAGAGAAAGTATTCCCGCGATGCCTTTCACAGTTTTCATGCATTTTCTCTGCACACAGCAGGATCAAAGTAAGGGCATGAGGAGCAACCTCAAGGGCAGCCAACCTTAATTACAGGCTCATGCATGTGAGAAGCCCTACGCACTCGTCACAGTAGCATATGTAGGCGCACCATTCCTTTCGCAGGTTCACATTCCCTACAGAGCATGTCACAGCTACACACCCTCACAGCCCTGCCTACTCTACACTACAGAGACTATCACAGCTGTTGTTAACATAGTGGAGATTTTATCATAGCTTATATTCGACATTGCACTAGCCAGCTGAGTTGACTCGTGAGACCATTCGGTACACATCTGGTTAAAGGTCCCATGAAACGACTCCTGAGATCTTCAACATTTCTCAGGCTTTGGTTTATTGAACAGGTATTTCTGCACGAGGGTAGGACTTAATGGTTTGAGGGTAGGTGGAACATAAACACAACGATCACCGCAGTTACACCGTGATGTTGTAGATTAAACACCTAACTGTGTTGTGAGTGTTAGCATTACGATCAGCAGGGACAGGAACTGCTGTGTTTACAGTTTTATTGGCTGGATCATTTTGAATACGTACATAAGTTATTTAAAAAAATAACAGTTAGCAAATGATGGGTTAAATGTGTTGCTGTTTTGCATGCAACCATTGAACAACAGATCTGGGACACAAGAACATTCTACATTTCATGGGACCTTTTTAATGTACAACGTATATTAGGAACACGCTGCATAGCGTCATCTACATTGTTCAGCTTTCAAACCAATATTTGTAGTGTCAAATTTGTTTTAAGACACACTGATGAACTTTGGCAAAGACCAGATAATGTGAACATTGTTTTGTTTAAAGGTATGGGTTACAGCATTTGTTATTGGATATGTGTTGTGTTGATGTAATGCTAAAACAATTTGTTTAAAAATCATGAACTTAAAAACCAAGCTCCTCGCATGCCTGAAACCTCCATGAGAGAAAATGAATGAGCCACTCACTTTGTGATACTACAATGACAGAAATACTGGTTAAATTACAAGATACTGCTCCAGGCAACGAGGCAAACTGTTAAGTAATCTGATTACAGGCTATGGGATGGAGAAGATGATAATGCAATTTACATTTGCCTTAGATTCTGTGTGGTCAGCAATACGATTTTGCTGAAGTTTTAAACCTGATTACAGACAAATACTTCACTTAAGTGTATCTGTATTGAGGATTTTTTTTTTTTCGTTTTTGGCCAATCACTGTTAAATATTGTAGTTGTTTTTCTTGTACCAGGACCACAACATGTACATTCCAAGTCTTATACAGGTGTTTGACATCTTTCTTATAGTTTGTGCTGCCTTATGAGAGGTACTCCTTGTGTCCTCACTGTGCAAACTCATACAGGCTTACTTCAACCTCTAAGCAGACACAGCGGCTTCTACAGCATAACAGCACCCACAGCCACAGCTAATGTAAATCTGCTCTGTGGCATACATCGGACACAGTGGGGCAACAAATACCGGAACACAACCTCAACTCAGTACTTCCTTATTCCAAGTCCATCATCACCCCTACCTCCACCACCTGACATGGGAGTCCATTTTATCTTTTGGTGGTGGTCAGTAGCCACCATTTCAGTTTTGAGGGACAGAAATACTTCCACGGCCACGCGAACAGACACCTCGCATATCCACCACAGACTGACGTTGATAGACTGATAAGCATCTACCCCCACCTCTCTGCCAGTACAGCACATCTCAACCGCAGAGCCCCCGAGGAGTCACAACACATTGATGATGAGGGCTGTTGGTCGTTGGGATGTGCCTGCCATAACACAACCACAGGGAGCAACAGAGGAGTTTTCAGACACACTCAGCCCGACCAGGGAACAGACGATACCACACACTGGGGCAGTAAACAAACAAAAGAGGCCATTCCCTTTCTCAGATGCTAATACCGCTCGTCTCCACCATCCTTGGGCGAACACAACACAACGAGCCGAATATCCACGGCAACACACAGCTGAACCGCCATGACAGCACATCGTCACGCAGATATTCCAGATGACTTATTGTCGAGCACTAGATGCCTTTTTCACTTTGCCAGTGGCTGACGGCTATTAAGCCAAATAAGCAAGCATCACGTGAGCGTCCATTTTTCACATGAGAAGAAACATCCACGGGGGGGCCTATGAAGACACAAGCATCAAACACCTATCAAGCATACAAGCACAGAGGCAAACAGATTCAAAATCCTTTCCTAAAGCTTCCTACAGTTATGGACTCTGGTGTTTTGGTTTTTTCCCCTGTACCTTCTTCCCCATTTCCCCCCCTCCTCTCTGTGCTGTTCTTGTGTTGTTTCTGCGTTGTTTCATTTTCCCTTTTTTTGCACTGGCCCATAGTTGATGCCTTTAACGCCTCCCGTGTGATGCAGGTTTGGCTCAGTGTGTCTGTGGACAGACAGCCCATTCTCAAACGGTGCAAATATCCTGCTTTGTGGTCAGAGCACGGTAAGCTGGAAATGAGCCCTTTGAATAGCAACTCTCAAAACAAACCGGCAGCAAGTCAAAACCCAGCATGGATGTGTGGATGTACTTTTCTTTCTGGTGGTTGGGATACAAGGAAGGGAAGAAGGAAGAAAAGACTCGAGAAGGAAAATGAGTTGAGGCTGGAGTCAAGAGGTTGGCAGGTAGCATCCTTGCTGAAGACTGCCCCCTACCTGCCCACTGTGTCCCATGCTCCATGTGTGGTGCTGTAAGTACTTGACAGAATGAATTCATAATCTGATTGGATGGTTAAAAGTAGAAAATGATTGTGAAACTAAAACAACATGACTGTTGTTGACTTGTTTAGCCATCATGTTAATACTACAATATGGTAAAGGCCCATAGCAACACCAGCAAGCAACAGATTTAAGTAATGTAATCGACAAACTGGCTCTGAGTTCTATAATGTATTTATTTATTTTCTGTCTCGTTATAATACTACCTCATGTCGGGTTACCACACTCATTACTACCACGGGAATGCATGGGGTGCATTGAAAATTCTTCTGATCTAGGAAAAAAAAAAGTTTGATTTTGATTTCACTGTGTTGTAGCTCTAGAAGCTAAGTGGTCAAAGTTAGGATTTTATTTTACAGATCTGCATTTTGGTTTTAGTGCTGGTTTTTATTTTTTTTAGCACGGTTAGCACTTAGTGCTGTCACATTTGGTGGTGACACATTATTATTATTATTACATAACCACATTAGGTTTTGTCTGTTCAAGTAATGGTATAATGGAATTAAGATAGGTTGAGTTTTTTTAATTTTTATTTCTGTTCACTATATGTTGAACAAAAATATCCACGTTTGTTATATTCCAATTGTATGTATAATGCAACATTCTATGCAGAATGGGTTGTGGAGGTCGTGCTTAAAGTCCCAATATTTGGTGACTATTCCCAGTGATCTCTCCATGTGTTGCTTATTGATGTGTGACTTGAGTTGCACATTCAATTAGCAATCTGCAATCCAGGGTTACACTATAAGCAACCACTGATTTAGTATTAACTCCACATCCGTTTCAGTCAGGGTTGGAAATTAGCACCAGTCACCGACCAAATGCTCACAGAATGTGCAAGTGGCTACTAGATGTGCTTCACCCACCAGCCAAAAAACAACGCTAATCTGTTGAGTGGCTGGTAGATTTTGTAATCCACCAGACAACAAAAGTGAATTTCCAACACTGGATTCAGTGCACTGTCTGTGGCGTTTACACAATCTGCTAGTGTTCGTATCACAGTGTGTACCTGTAGTGTCTATGCACGTCATAACTATTCTGCTGATTCATATTTGGGTTACAGTTAAGGTTGTATTTGGGTTAGTAAATCTATTTTACGTAACAGATGTGAAATAGATTTGATGTCATAAGCTAACTGTAGCCAAAATATAAAGCCTGTTTCACCTAACGGATGTGAAATACTAAGAAAGTAAGTTTGACAAGCCACTGTAGCCTCAACCGGCTGGAGTGCATCACTGCGTAGTGTGGATCTCTCCTTCATGATACTTCACTTGGGTTGCGTTTTCCAAAATAGTGTAAATTGAGATGTTTGTAGAAATGCATCATGAGAAACTTTTATGGGTTCAGCATTGTTTTCAATTTGCTCATACTTATTGATGCTCCTCATAAATCTGTGTAGTCATCATCAAGCTATAGTTATGCGGAAGAAACATTTTCTGATTGACAGCTAGCTATATTTTGATATATATATACTGCTGATTATAGTATACAATCAAGTATGAATTCAATGTTAATATCAATTCTAACTGTTTTAAATGAGAACATTAAATGCTGTTTTCATAATGAATTGCCGTGACTAGATTCTCGATCTGCTAAACTACAGGAAGTTGCCTCTATGAAAGGGGTGGCTGTGTGCACAGAGAGTTCACCTTGGGTTTCGTTGGACGAAGCTTTTTTACATCAAATATTATGGAAAATACCAGCACTTACTTTTTTGTTGATTACTTTAAGCCCAATCTACAAATCAGGTGTCATTTTTTTCATACTTCCACAATGTAATCGAGTCAAAACAACTGATGTCAATTCACTTCTGGTATTCTACGTCTGTCGTATCATTTGTAATTAAATTAAGTTTTCAATAACATGCTTATATTGCTGCTTATAGCACTGATGCAAACTGAACTCTCTGATCTGCTACTAGGATCTTTCTATTGCATGTAATAGGATGTTTATACAGTGTTGCCAAATCTATACTTTTTCATGTTTTATTTGGATTTGACATGTGTATATGTGTACCTGCACAGATGCTGATGGTGAAGGCAATTGGAACAATTCACAAGGTGTGTGTGTGTTTGTGCTGGGATGGCTGATACAAGATGAAAGCTACTTTTCAAAATCACTGCTAGAAAAAAATCTCCATTATGTCACGTATTAGATTAGCAAAATAGAGCCTGCTGACTTTTTTTTGAACACTTAAGATATTAGCCTCCTCTGCTGCATGTCAACCACAACCATGTCCCTTAGTAGGCTACGGCACCTGTTGGATGTTTTTGACAAGGAAGCTGTTTTATAGGCAACTTTTATTTGACCGTTTTAGATCCCAATGCCAATCCCAACAAACGCCAGAGGCAGCCGGCTCTTCTGGGAGACCACCCACCTGATTATGGTAACTATCCCATGAGGAAATAGATCTGCTGTTTAGAGGAATGGATCAAACTCCAAGACTGTGTCTGTACCTCAAATGTTGTTTTTTCCTCTAAATAAGCTGGCCCACAAGGAGGTTATCATAGCTACAATGAGGACAGCTACGGCCCGCCTCCTCCCCACCGCGGGGGGCCAGGTATGGGCGGGCGTGGTCGTGGCAGCCAGCGCTACGGCCCTAGTTACGGACCACCACCCCCTGAGTATGGCCCTCACGCCGACTCCCCGGTTCTTATGGTTTATGGCCTCGAGCCCGCTAAGGTCAACGCCGACAAGGTCTTCAACGTCTTCTGCCTCTACGGCAATGTGGAGAGGGTGAGTGAAATACTGCCAACCCAACCCCTCTGAGGTATTTAGTCATTAGACACCATAAATTCATGGCTGCATATGTAATGAATTTGTTTGATTGCTAGTGATTGCTGGAGTTGATTAGAACACCTACGTGATATGCGTATAATTAATCTTTAACTGATTCATAATTTAAATCATTTTTTTCCAGCCAAAATATCAGTAAATAGCTAGTGAATTTTATATCTTTATGTTTACGACTCTTAAACAAAACAGGTCAATTGAAGACGTGGCCTCAATAGACGAATAGACTTCATTGGCAATGACAATAATCGCCATTCGCAGAAATAGATTCATGCTATTTTTTTTGTCCTTTTGTGTCAGCTGGATATTTTTCTTCCTTCAGATTAAGTTCATGAAGAGTAAGCCTGGAGCAGCAATGGTGGAGATGGGTGACTGTTACTCTGTGGACAGGGCCATCACTCACCTCAACAACAACTTCCTCTTTGGACAGAAACTCAACGTTTGGTAAGAGCAGCTGTCCAAACTATTACAAAACATGAGACTATAGACTATTAAACATAAAAGATGCAGAGCTAGATAAACAGATGGACATCCTCTGACCGTTCCCCCTGGCAGTGTGTCCAAGCAGCAGGCTATTGTGCCAGGACAGTGCTACCAGTTGGAGGACAACACAAGCAGCTTCAAAGATTTCCATGGATCCCGCAACAACCGCTTCACCTCCCCAGAGCAGGCGGCCAAGAACCGAATCCAGCACCCCAGCAATGTCCTACACTTCTTCAATGCACAGCCCGACATCGCTCCAGAGATTTTCAACCAGGTAAGAAAAGCCACCGGGGTTCCATCTGTGAAGTGCAGATGTTTCACACACACCACCGCCTCAAATTTCCACTGACACTGGTCTTTTCCTTCCAGGCCTGCGAAGATCTGGGAATCAAGAGCCCCACAAGTGTGAAACTTTTCACCGGAAAGAGTGAGTGCTATGAGTTACAACCATGCCTATAGTATGTACTGGCTTTGTTAAAATGCGCTTTGACTTTCCAATTAATAATATTGCAGAAGGTTCTGTCTCATATATTTAAAAAAGGGGAAGTAGAAGCGAGTAGTAGTAGTTAGATGTGTGTAATAATTCAAAAACAGGAATACACAGTTGAGTATTATTTATTTTAGTAATCTAACAGTCATGTTGTGTGGTACAAAAGGTGAGCGAAGTTCATCTGGCCTCCTGGAGTGGGAATCCATCAATGATGCCATGGAAGCCCTAGCTCTGATTAACCATTTCCAGATGAAAAATCCCAGTAAGTTCTCATCTCCTTACAATAACATATTGTTGACATTGTTTTGCTGGTCGTGTAGTTTTACAATATACTGTACATTTTATAGCCTTCATATTGTCCTTTACCTTTATAATGCATGTTTCCGTTCTTTCTTTCCTCTTCCAGGTGGGCCTTACCCGTACACACTGAAGCTGTGTTTCTCAACCACACACCATGCCAACTGACCACTCTCCCCACAAACCATTTGTAATGTTTCGTGTCTTGCATAGAGTGTTCTATACAGTTCTGTTGTCACGCTCCATTAAAACATTCGACCAGTATTGACAAAAAAGACTGCTTTGCTTTAAAACATGTTACCTGAACTATGATTTTGTATGATGTATTTACTTTTGTCATGTTTTTCAATCAGTTTTATTTTGTACGTTCCCAACACTAGATTTGAAGAATGTTTAAAAAAAACCAAAAAAAAAAAAAAACTAAACACTACCCTGAAGTAATTCAATGTGGACCTGAGTTTTATTTTAGTTTTTTAAATCAAGTGAACAGTAACCATGATGTGAATGCTGATATAACCAGTGTTCACGTCTACAAAGATGATTTGTGTTGTATCGTTCATCATTTATTCAGAAACGGTACAAATGTATTGGCAAGTTCTTACAAAGAGAAGCAGCCGTAGTTCTTTGACATCCCTGTCCTGAAGTGGTTAGGGTGCCTTCTGTATGTCGATACCTGGACTATAAAGGATTATTACCATGAAGATTAAAGGATGGCGAAGATGAAGGAGCTGGTTATCTGTTTAGCCACTGTCAAAATGTCATCGTCAAGTTGTCACCTTTTGTAGTAAACAATACTGTGAATAGAACTTTGGCTGGAATAACTCAATTAACCAAAAGTTAGTCGTTTCAGTTTCCACATACCAGCATTAGGTAGCCTGGATCAGGCAGAGGCCCCATCTATACACACAGGTTGTGTAGCATAATGCACTCAGACCTACACTGCATTATTTTCAGTATCACTGTTTGTATTCAAAAGTGCTAGATGAATTAAAGCAGTTTAAAAATGAAAAGAAAAACAATTGCCCTATTTACTTATTCACCTAAATATGTTTTAATTATACAAGCATGTTATTTGCAGAACATCCAAATTACACTTGAGCTAAGTATATACAGTGTATATGTAATATACTTGTTTTTTTAAACTGTAGACCACACTTTATTTAGTGTTGAGTCGGCTGTATGCATAGCCTATATTTCTGGTGTCCTTGGAACATTATATTTCTCCATACAGTCAAAAATAAATGGATAAGTTGCATACATACATGAAACAATTTGTCAAAACACTGAAGGACCATTATTTCACCTGACGCATGTAGGAAAAAGTTTAAAAAAAAAAAATATATATATATATATATATCTGAAGCCTTCAGACTAATCGCCTGGGCTTCATCTGTGAGAATCACACAACCTTCCGGAATCCCAACCAACAGTTCATACCAAGTAACGTTTCATAAACGGTGTGAAGAATAGGAAAGTGTTTCTAACTTGACACAGGTAACGTTAGCTTACTACGTAAACCATTGTAGTTCATTTAGAAGTGCATATTCCAGCAACTCAGATGGTTTTGTCCTCATATTAACTATATGTAAAACTCATTATATCTCTCGTTTCATCACATAAACGGCATTCATATGAACCTTTATTCCGTAGATCGTACAACGTTGTAGTGTTGTTCACAATAATGCTAGAGAAAATAAAGTGGTGTAAGAAAAAAACTACAACTCCCGTTGTGCCTTGATACTCAGTCGCGTAGGTGTTTCCGGTGTCTTATAACATTTTACTTCCTTCCACACAGACCGACACGAACAAATCGAGAAAGAAGACGTCGCCAACTTTTAAATGCCGTCGTTAACGGTTGCGTTTTGAGCTCATTTACTCGTTTAATTTCCATCATAAAATGCGAGGCGCGTAACGTGGTGGTGTCTGAGAATTGAAGAATTGTTGACAAACGCAGACCGTAACGTGTAGGCCTCCGAAGAAAGTTTGGTCGAGGGCCTGTAAACAACATGTCCTCCGCCTCGCAGCCTTCCTCCAGACGGCAATGGTGCTACCTCTGTGATCTGCCCAAAATGCCCTGGGCCATGCTGTGGGAGTTCAGTGAGGCCGTGTGCCGGGGATGTGTCAACTACGACGGGGCAGACAGAATAGAGCTCCTCATCGAAACTGCTAGGCAACTGAAGAGCACGCACGGAGTTTTAGACGGCCGGTCCCCCGGTCCTCAGCAGGGCAAACCCAGCTCGGCTGGGCCCCTTGAAGCGGGGCGGCAGCATGGAGAGCGTATGGATAGGGGGAGGGGTGAGTATGGGGTGTCTTCTCGCCTACCCAATGGCCTGCACAGAGCTGAAGATGTGTCCCTGTCAGAGGGCAGCAGACAGAGCCCAAACACACGTCGGGCTATAGTTGGGGCAGTTCCTAGTCTCCATGGCACCATATCCCATGCATTGATAGCTCAGGGGTTAGTAGCGGCCCCTCATGGGCTTTTAGCCCCCTTGTCAGGCTCCAGGACAGGGGCCACACCAATTGCTGTCTCAGCTGGCCCCATAATGGGTGACACTGGGAGAAGACAGGTTGTGTCCCTGGGCGTGGGAGCTAGCACCTCTGCTCTGGTGGGTATAGATCCCGCTATGTGGAGGAACAATGAAGTGATGGCAGAACTGAATGAGGTGGCTCGTAGCAGGGTCGAAGGCTGGCCGAACCGTCCAAAAGCAGTCCGGGACGTCCTCGTAGCTTTGAGCAGCTGCGTCCCCTTTAACGTGCGCTTCAGGAAAGACCACAATCTGATGGGCCGCGTTCTAGCCTTTGACACCAGCACAACGCCGGAGTTTGAGCTGAAGGTGTTTGTGGAGTACCCCGCCGGCTCTGGGATGATCTTCTCGGGAGTCCCGGACCTGGTCAGGCAGATGTTCCGCGACTCAGCCAAAGATGCAGGTAAAGCGGTTAACTCTGGGCTACGCTATGTGGAATACGAGAAGCGGCAGGGCACGGGAGACTGGCGCGGGCTGTCTGAGCTGCTGAACGATGGTGTGCGCATGTTTAAAGAGCCCCCAATTCCAGAGGTTCTGCCCCAGCTGGATGCAGGGTTGCCTATGGCAACCGCCGGACGCTCTGTACCAGCGAAGAGCACAACTCGGCGCCGCAAGGCCTCCCCAGGCTCTGAGAATGGAGAGAGCGAAGGCAGGCCTGATCACCCAGCGAGAGAGCCCTGGCCCCGAGGTGCTTACTCCGGCATGGAACCGCTTCCTGGCATGGCCGCCCCACAAGAAGGCCCGCCCCGTTTACACAGCCAGCCCTCGCCCATCTCGGCACTCATGGGAGTCGCAGACAGCCTGAGCTCCAGCCAGATGGCTAGAGATAGCCCCGGCATGTCCACAGCCCACTCCTCCTCAGCCGGGCGCCCCACCAGTGGCAGCCCTTCCACCGCATCCACCTCAGTCTCCCAGGCAGCCTTGGGGCAGGGCTTGAGCGCGGCGGGGCAGAGCAGCAACGCCGGGGAGTCCACGAGCAACACTCAGGGCACTCTGCTCTGCTGCACCCTCTGCCGAGAGCGCTTGGAGGACACCCACTTTGTCCAGTGTCCCTCCGTCCCGCACCACAAGTTCTGCTTCCCCTGCACCCGTGGGTTCATCCGCAGCCAAGGTCAAGGTGGGGAGGTGTACTGCCCCAGCGGAGAGCGCTGTCCCCTGGCCGGATCCTCCGTGCCTTGGGCCTTCATGCAGGGAGAGATTTCGACCATCCTGGCCGGAGACGGAGACGTGACAGTAAAGAAGGAGAGCGACCCTTGACGTCTCCATCTTGTTGTGGTGAATGGTAAGACGATGAGAAAAACCGCGCTTCTAATGTCTTTCTTGTATCAGTGAACACAATGGATGCAGCTGTCCTGATAGGGATGGACATCAGCTTTAACAAAACATATTTAATTTTATTTAATTGCTTATTTGGTAGGGACAGTGCACATTAATGAAACATTCCTGTAAATGTGCCAGAGTTAGCCAAGAGGCTATTTTTCATTTGTGGTCCCTGGACAGATGTTAAAAGGTCACCCTAAGAACACTAAATATACGGTAAAAAAACTACAAATGTGTGCATCATTTCCCCTTTATAAAAGAAGAGAGAATGTTAACACCAGTAGAAACATCATTCAGGACTCTTAAGACATGCAGCACAGAGGCTCATAAAACAACACATGCAAAGCAGATACATGAGGGATAATATTGTTAAATAGAGACCAGATTATACTGCATTGTTAGACACTAAAAACATCCATGTCAGAAGTACAAAACATAAAAGTATGTAGAATATATAAATTAGTCTGACAGATGGCGGGAAGCACAGCATGGACCAATGGAGACAGCAAGGTGCAGTTATGTTCTAGCCGACTGAGCTGGGTACCAATGAAGCATCTCTTTAAGTGAACTGTGTGTGTATTTTAAAGATGACGACCAAAACAAAAAGTCCCCAATAAGAAATGTAAAAAATAATAGATGCCAATGAGATTATTGCAAATAAGAAACCATATCAGTGTAATCGTGGTAATGTGTCTTTTTGAAAACAATTTTTAATTCAACTTGGTTTAAAGACAGCAGTAGAACCGAGTGTGGCTGATCTGCAAAGCAGGTCATCTGTCATTCTTCACGCTCCCTCAGTTACATCAGCACCGAAGGGACGTTCTCTTTGAAACTACACAACACACAAAGGTGAAGAAAGGATATGTTTATTCAGTATGTGATCAGCATCATAATTGAGAATCTGCTGGTTTTGCACATGATCGGCCCGTTTGTTACGTAAACATTAAACAACAGTGTCGTCTGTCATGGTGCTAACAGAGCTCTCAGTAGTTTGATGCTCATTTAGAGATCAGATGGAGGCGGGGAAATTCACAAGATGCTCTGAAAATTCAAATAGACATGATGAAATAAACAAAACCTTGTTGTGTTTCTGCCACAGCCTCCGTTTCGCTGGCAGTACAGTATCACGAGCTAACCGCTGCACTTCATGAACACGTCTCATGTTAGACCTGGGCTTTCTGCAGGGTTCACCAAATCTAAATGCGAAAGACTTGAGGAATTTATTGACATTGCTATGACATTGTTGTGCTCTGCAGCAACATGTTTCAATAGTTTCTAGTAATATACCAACCAATTTTCTTCTCAAAAATTGTAGTTTATAGAAAAAAATCTTCCAAGACTTTTTTT